AGACACATCTATTTCGCAAATACCTTCTGGGATGATTGTCTACCTTATTTTCCATGTGTTGCTGTGTTGCTCCGGGTTGAAATGGCTAGAAAGACTTTGATATTGTATGCTTGTAATTAGTTTTTGTAGTGTTGTGTTTGTTTTAAATGTGGTGAATTATAAATATGTTTTTTGTTGACTTTGTACCGCGCTTCGAGCCTTTGGGGATGAAGCGTGTTTTTTAAATGAACTTTATTATTATTATTATTATTTAGTGCCATAGATCAGAATGACTTAGTATGATTTAGTGCCATAGATCAGAATGACTTATGATTTAGTGCCATAGATCAGAATGACTTATAATGATTTAGTGCCATAGATCAGAATGACTTATAATGATTTAGTGCCATAGATCAGAATGACTTAGTATGATTTAGTGCCATAGATCAGAATGACTTAGTATGATTTAGTGCCATAGATCAGAATGACTTATTATGATTTAGTGCCATAGATCAGAATGACTTAGTATGATTTAGTGCCATAGATCAGAATGACTTATGATTTAGTGCCATAGATCAGAATGACTTATAATGATTTAGTGCCATAGATCAGAATGACTTATAATGATTTAGTGCCATAGATCAGAATGACTTAGTATGATTTAGTGCCATAGATCAGAATGACTTAGTATGATTTAGTGCCATAGATCAGAATGACTTATTATGATTTAGTGCCATAGATCAGAATGACTTAGTATGATTTAGTGCCATAGATCAGAATGACTTAGTATGATTTAGTGCCATAGATCAGAATGACTTAGTATGATTTAGTGCCATAGATCAGAATGACTTAGTATGATTTAGTGCCATAGATCAGAATGACTTAGTATGATTTAGTGCCATGATTCCCAAGTATTTATTTTTATGTGTGACCCACAATATTAAACCCAATCCTTGCTGACAAAGGGTATAAGTGCAAGACCTGTTAATGAAGATTTGATCAGGCTCAGTACATACTGTGAAAAGTGGAGACTGAAAGTAAACAACACCAAGGCAGTATACACGGTCTTCACTAAAAAGCCCCAAGGTAGCCAAACAGAACATTACACTATTCCTAAAAGGTAGCCAAACAGCACATTACACTATCCCTACAAGGCACCATACCCCAAAAAGAAGACAACCCAATATATCTAGGTCTCCAGTTAGGCAACCCAATTAAAGAAATATGTTCAAAACTTGAAAGAAAAGTCAATATGGTTGCTAAATTTTGTCAGTTGTACATAGGAATCATTGTGCTACAGTCAATATGCAGCAAGACAGTTCAGGACTCTCTAGGAAAATTACAAAGCCAGGCAGTTTATCTCATCTTGGGAGGTCTAAGATCTACCCCAACAGCAGGACGCCATAACATTCTAATATTGAGCCACTAAATCTGAGAAGAATGGGAGTAGTTTTCAAGACACGCAACATCCAAGTAGTCAAATGGTTGAAGTATAGAGACCAAGCCATAGAATTAAAAGAAATAAATACTAGATGTGGCCTCTGAAATTGAAGAGCAACACCATCTGCCAGCAGACAGAGAAGACTTGTAAATTATCTCTAAAGGCCTCTCTTCAAACCTACATTAACAATAATTGGCTCATCAAAACAGACCAAATAAAAGATAGAAAAGAAAAGTATCGGCCCATTAAATACATCAAATCCCAGCAAACCAAAATAATCTCATTAATCTTCTCCAAGTGCAAATAAAAACTTCAGACAGCTGAGCATCAAGAGCTCACAACAGTAAAATCACTATATTTGGGTTGAGACCCAGGGTTTTAGAACCATTGTTTTAATGAATGGAAGCACTGCTTTATTATTTTATGTGTTTTCAATTTATAATTTATGAGATCAATTTTCCTACTAATCTCTTGTCAGACACAGGTATTGAGTTGAGCCAAAGGGAGGGAATAATTCCAGCCAGAAGTAAGCAGTTTATCATAGCCACCATCAGGCCTATGAGGCGCGTCACGTATCAATATGCCATCAAGTACCAGCTGATAGTCCCCAAAAGTAAGCTTGAACTTTTTTACTGCTACTTATGATAAGACTTTTAAATGAAAATTGTTTTTGTGATCACACACAGTATCTCACGAAGTAGAAAAAAAAGACTTGAGGCGGGGGGCTAAAGAAAACAGTGGTAGGGGCATGTTCCTTAATAAATAAAAATGTTCCTTTAAAAATACTTACGTTGTTTTTAAATTTTCACATCAGCCGAAACAATACCAGCCGCTGTCTACGAGCCACAGCACCTAATCTACCTTTTAGCATCAGGTGTCTACCCGATGCTTTTTGTGACTGACATAAGGCCCCAGGGCAGTGCCATCAGCTTGAGCAAGAAAAATTTGTGGAACCTCTTCTCTATAGACAAGTTTGTTTCACACCTTTAAAATTTTCTTATTGGAACAATACATTTTGTTCATTTGAAATCTTTTTTATCAAATCATAAATTTTTATATCTTCAACTTTTTTGGGATTTCAGAATTTCATTTAGACCTGTAACCTATCTATGCATTTATTTTCAGTCTAAATGCTGCTCTTGATGCAGATCCTTCATCTGAAGAATTGATGTTCAACGCAGCCACTCGGCAAAGGTATTTTATTTACAGATTAGGCCAGTGTGTCTCTTTTCATGTCCATAAGGCTCTTAATTTTTATAACTATATAAGGCTTTTAACTCTTTCGATGCGGAACAACACACACTGCGTTCTTCTGCCATTCTCAGGACCAACACGCTGTGTTGTTTCAATATCATTTTTTTTGTTGCTATTTCTCGGTTAAACTTTTTAAGAGATATTTTTAAATAAGATTTTTACTTAGAAGAGTGGTACTTCATTGTTTGTAAGCAAATCCAAGTTTTTTTTGTTGTCATTTGAAGCATTATTTTAATGATTTTTTTCCCTTTTTTTTTTCTACTTTTGCTATGGCTACTCTAGGCCCTATTAGGTGAGTAAGTTTCCAAGACGATTAACAGCTCAAAAAGCTTTGGAATAGTTTTATACTATTTCTTTTGATAGTGAAGATGATTTATATTTAGATCCATCGCATGATTCCGATAGTAGCAGTTTTAGAGGATTTGATTTATAGAAGTGAAGATGAGGTATGCGTACATCATAGGGTTTGGGGAAAAAATGGTTTGGCATAAAATGTTTTCACATTTTATGGTTCTTTTCTGTAACCTTTTTTATTTAAACTGAAGAAATAAGTTTATAAACAGATAGTCCTTTCAATTATCTTTCATTTGATACCAAGTTTGGTCTTATAAACCAAAGAATCCTGTCATAAATAGTTTTTAATAAACCCATCCTCTCATACTTTTGTACATTTTTTACATTAAAAAATTCCGCAGCGAAAGAGTTAATGGTCAGTTGTTAAAAAAAAAATGGTGGTTTTTTAACTATAAAGAATCAATTTATGGATCAGCGTTGAAAAAAATTCCAAATTATATAAAACAAGAAAAGAGCCAGATATTATGGAAAAAATCTGTAAGCAAATTAATAAAAATACCCTATAAAGCATATATTTCTTTTGTTTTTATCTAATAAATTATTTTTAGTGTTTTAAAAAATGTTTTTAACTTGATTCCTTCTTTTCTAAAAGTAAAAAACAATAATAACTTAGAAAAATCAAGTGCTATAACTGTACTACCAATGAAAAAACAATTACGCTTAGAGTAAGAGCCTTCTTCAGCAGACAGTACAAAGAAAAAACAACAAGAAATAGAAAGTAGTTCAATAACATTAATGCGAACTCCAAACACTTAAGTTTTTGAACTGTTTTCTCTTTTTATTTGTCCTGTATTTATATTTCAAGCTTCCACATACCTTGCTCCACTATTTCCTTCACACAGCGTGAATGCAGGCCTTCATTTATTACTAATGAAAGAACAGGGGAAAATGCCCAAATCAAAGTGTGCATATTTAAAGCTGCACATATACATTCAGTGACAACCAGTGTAAATTATATTATAATATAACAATTTTCCTACACAGTTTTTGGTTTTCATGGTCAGAATATCAGTGTGAGTGACATGTTATTCTGTTTTTCCACATTCCAGTATCAGGAAACACAGCAGCCACTTGACCAAAGTTGTCATGGACTTTAACTTCTCTGCTGCGCCCATTGGAGCCGAACCCTTCATTGTGACGATGATGTTTCAAAACTCAGGAACAGTCTCTTGCGATTGGTACTGATTTATTTATTGTATTCAAATAGTTTAAGTTGTTTTTAATGTATACTCTCCATTTGCTTTGTTTTTTTCCTATTGAATTCACAAACCAATTGTAAATGAGTTGTATATTTAATTAATTCTTTTTTAAAAGTATGGCTCAGTAATGTAAGATATCAAAAGTCTGCATTTTTTATCTGAATTTATTAAGTTGTTCAAGAGATCTTCATTGCTTGATTATCAGGAGGGTCCAAATTTTTGGGTTTTAAAAAAAAATGTCTTAAATTATTTTGTTTTTTATTTTTCCAGGGTGTTTATGTTTCCAAAAGACATTGAACTGGAGATGGGTTTCTGGGTAGATGATGGCGAAAGAAACACAGATGAGCTGAATGAAGTCAGTGGCATCATTTAATTTTTTTCCACAATATCATGTTTAATTACATCATGTTTGATTATACATTTGATTACACATTTGCTTACATCATGTTTGATCACATCATGTTTAATTACATCATTTTTAATTACATCATGTTTGATCACATCATGTTTGATTACATCATTTGATTACACGTTTGATTACATCAGGTTTGATTACATCACGTTTGATTAAATCATTTTTAATTACATCATGTTTGATTACATCATGTTTGATTACATCATGTTTGATTACATCATGTTTAATTACATCATGTTTGATTACATCATGTTTGATTACATCAGGTTTGATTACATCATGTTTGATTACATCATGTTTGGCAGCTAGTAAAAAAACAATTTTTGCTTCTATTATCAGCTTACTAAATAACGTCAGTTGTATAAGAATATTTTCAACAGCTTTAAATTGATTCATTCTGCTTGATATCAAAATTAAAATTCCAAATTCTATCAAATGGGGCTTAAAATTTATTCAATATTATTCACAGTATTATTCTTAAGAATCATTGTTCCTGAGAAATCAAGTTTTTTTTTTCAGATTAAAGTTATGGAAAATAAATTTTTTGAAATCACACCCAAAAAAGGAACATTGAAACCAGGAGAGAAAACCAACGTCACCGTACAGTATGTACACACCATGATTGGGACGGATCGTCTTCCTGTGTTACTAAAGATTGCTAGAGGAAGAGAAATCATGGTGTGTTAAATCTTATTTATTTATTCATTAATGCAAAATTAATTCAGGGTGTCATTTAATTTTTATTCAATGATTTAACTAATTTTCAAACAACTAATAATCAAGTCACATTTTTACACAACTCAAATTTTGCTCCACATCATTTGCCATTCATTATTCCATTTTTAAGGGGAGATAATGTGTACCACAGGTCTACACAATGGTGTAGTCAGGCAATTGACAAACCACTCAAACTATAAAATGTACAGTACAAAATAATTATGATCCAAAAATTGTGTGTATTTTAAAGAATGTTTATCACTATACTTAACTATTTTGTTGAAAAAAGTGGGTTAGATTGTAATAAGGCAGAAGTAGATTGAAACATTAAATGATATTAAAAAATGTACTCTTAAGCATACAACAATGAAAAAAATATATAAATATATAAATATAAGGAATAAACAATAATTTACAGTAAACTAGGTAATAATTTTATGACAAATGCAAAAAAAAAAAAAAAGCTTAGAGAAAAAAAATTGGCTCTCCAAGATACAAAACTGAAATAAAAATTAATTTTTGTTTCTTTTCATAGCATCTCATCATAATACATACAATTAATAGCTGATTATTTTGCATATAAATGGGAATATGCCTATGAATGAAAACATTAATTCATTAATAAAATATTTTTGTGTTCAATAGTTAAACTTTTTGGGTGTGACATGTGAGGTGGATCGTCCATTCATTCACTTTCCATCCAACAAACATAGATTTAACCCTGTACCCATTGGAGAGCTCTTCAGCCCAGTTCAGGTAAGACAAAAACTTGTGAAATTAAATGTGCTATACCTTCTTTGGGAGATTCAGGATAAAAGCAGGTG